CAGCTTCATTTGCTTTTACACTTGATTTTAGCCAAAAGGCCGAGAAGCAATACTTCATTTGTTTTTAGGGAAATGCAAATTAATAAGATACTGCGTACTCATTAAAACAGCTAAATCCAAAAAAAAAACGGATGATACCAATTGCTGGCAAATATATGAAGCAGTAGCAACTCTCAGTCATTACTGATGGGAATGACACAACAAATTTTAACGACAATTCAGCAGTTTCTTATAAAGCTAAATGTAGTATCACCATATAATACAGCAGCTCCACTCCTAAGTATTTATTCAACTGGTTTGAAAACATATCCACACAAAAACCTGCACTCAAATGTTTCTAGGCACTTAATCATAATCACAAAAATTGGAATCAATCAAGATGTCCTTTAATAGATGAATGGATAAGGGTACATACACAGAACAAAGGGTACATCCATACAATGGAAGAGTATTTAGCAATAAAAATAAATGAGCTATAAATCTATTCAATAACATGAAAGAATCGTAAATGTTCATTGCTAAGTCAAATCAGTCAGAAAAGACTAGTGTATAGCATTGCATAATTCCATTTATATGATATTCTGGAAAATGAAAAAGCATAAAACAGAAAATAGATCAGTGGTTGCCAGGGACTTAGAGAGGAGAGGGGGTTGAATATGTGTAACACAGTGGATTTTTTAGGATGATGAAACTTTTCTGTATGATACTGTAGTAGTGGATACATGACACTATGCATTTATAAAAATTTGTGGAATCTTACATCACAAAAATAAACTTTAATATATCTACATTAAAAAAAAAGTACTATTAAGAGATCGAAGGATCCTTGAATGGAATACACGGTGACATCAGAATCTAACTACTTTTTCAAATGTATGACATCACCTTACTGAATAGTGATGGTGAGGCAGGGGGAACGATAACCCTAAATAGTGTTGAAATTGAGCAGAGACTGTAAGTTTTCAAACATGGAACTGCACATAAGTAGTATACTCTAGTTAATAAACTCATTTTCCATAGAGGTATGGGTTAACAATTCTGGATTATTGTGCATGTATACTAGGATTGAACACATAAATAAATGGAGGGCAGCTGGTGGGAAGCAGATTTCACATTGTTTGAGAGGAAGTTTACAGACAAACGGGAGGAGATTAGAATTATACATGTGGTACTAGATGAGAACCAAGAATGTTACTATGAACTCACGTTTAGCTTAATATAGATACAGATTGATATATGTATATTGATATAGATGCATACATGGGTTAGTATAGTAACAGGTATTTCCTAGTTCTGTCTGCTGAGAAGGCCTGAAAACAACATCCTAGTAACAATAGTATACTTGGGGCCCAGATCTTGGTTTCTAATACCATTTTCCAATAGAAGGAACCAGAGATCTTTGGAGAAATGATTGATTCTAGAGCTGTTCAGGGAATATGTAAGATGAATCAGAAAGTAAACAAATGCTAAGAAAAAAACTACAATAAACAAACAAAAATGTGGATGTATGTGAAAGAGACATAGTAGCCAACAGAAGGAGCTCCCAATGATCAAAGGTTGAACAATTTCAACAATAAAATAAATAACATAATATAAGATTATAACCCAAGTATAAAGCAAACAATGAGTACATACTGATATAAAGAAATGGTTAAATAAATAAATGGGGAGAATAGATAAATGTCATGTACAAAAGAATTTCAAATAATTTATATAGCTATTCTTCCCTTAAGAAGATGGAGCTTGACTCCCCATCTTGTTTAAGTGTAGGCTTTGCATATTGGCATCCTTCCAAAAAGTACTGGATATAGGGAGGAGGGGAAGAGTAACTTAAGTGCAAAGAAACCTGACAAACACTCTCAGGTCAAGGTTAACATCATCAGTGGTGAGTCATGTTGGTAGCATGTGCCCTTGATATGCGATGATAATGACACTTTAGCTTTTTAGTCTTCCCATAAATCCATAACCCCTTTCTACCATGATGAAACCAAATTGAAGGACATTCTACAAAATACATGAACAGTACTTCTTAAAACTCAAGGCCATCAAAAACAAGGGAAGTCTGAGGAACTATCACAATCTAGGGAGGCCTAAGTAGATATGACTAAATGTAATGCATCTTGGATTAGATCCTGGAAAAGAAAAAGGACATTGGTTAAAAACTAATAAAATTGGGATAAAGTATGGCCTTTTGATAATAACAAAGTATCAATACTGGTTTATTGGTGTGATAGATGTATCATAGTAATGTTAACAATAGGAAAAACTGGGTACAAGGTATACAGGAACTTTTTGTTATATTCTTGCAAATCTGTATATGTAAAATTATTCTGAAATAAAACATTTATTAAATGTTTTTTTAAAAATGTCTAGAGATGAATCCCTAGACATTTAACATACTCTCCAAGTGATTCTGATGCATGCTGAAGTTTGAGAACTCTTGCTTTACTGTATAATCAAAAAGAGGCTTGTGGTTAGAAAAGTTTGTGGTTTTATTTCCAAGCTAGGGACCAAACAGCATCTTACACACAGATTGTCTCTAGGAGGTCTCAGAGAATAAATGAATAAGGATAAGATACCTTTTTACATAAACTCATTAAGTATTTTGACTTGCATATAATCCATTTGTGAGGAGAGAGGCAAGAATAAAATGATGTTGTGAGTCAGTGATATTGTAATCATATCATACCAATTCTAGCCTAGGTAGGGGCCAAGAAAGGGGTCTCCGAAGGTTGCCAAATAATGGCATGCCTTTTCACACACAGTTAGAAATTAATTGAAAAATATAGCAAGAGTGAATATGATAGATTGGAGCCAAAATATGACATTACGGATAAAGGCCAGCTGTTAATCTCCCAAATTTGATAGACTTACTCACCCATTCATTAAAGTATCTAGACCAATTCAGGCCCACCCTAACCCTCTTAAAGGGGCATCATGAGTTAAGGTGTGGAGAGGAACCAAGATTGTCATACTAGAGCTCCTTCCTTCCAGAACAACCATCATGAGTGGAGAAGATATGTTCTCTTCATCACTGGCAGAAGATGTGTTCTCTTCATCACCTGGAGCAGGCGAGGCAGATTGATAAATTTGTAATGCTTTTCCAGATGGAAAGGGATATGTAGTCAAGATCTGGTTGTAAGGCTAGTTTAAAGTTAGAGAATCTAACCCATGAAATAGCTTCTACAGGTGTACGGGGGAGTCTGAAACAATTTCTCAATATGTATCAAATTTAAGCAACATTCAGACAATGGTCAATCCAGAGATCCAGGCAAAAATACTATTTGCCAATCTAGGATTTGTCTATAAATGGTAGCTATTAAGTAGAAGATTGACTAGACTATTACTTTCCTCAACCACAATAGATAATTGAGATGTTACTATATTAGGTTTTATATGTGTGATACAGCTAATGTAAGATCATTTGTTTTATAATTAGCATTCCTGTGCCACAATGCTACTTCGAAGTAGATATAGCTAAATCATAAATGGAGATCTGTTGGTCTAAGTTAGAGAATCGGGAGCCTAAATTTCTAGTCATAAAATTGCCAGTTTGAGACTTCTCACTTAGCCTCTGTTTCCCATTTTCTTCATTGATTAAAAGAATAGTTTGGACTAGATATACCTCAAATTGTGTTCATGTGACTAATTCATTTACTTATTCACTTATCCTATGTTTACCTTAGCCAAATTGACTTACATAAATCATCTCTTCCTCATATTTTAAATTTATTGCAGAAATAATAAAAATTAAAGAATATTTTTAAAAAGAGTAACAACTTAAAATTTTCCATTTCCCGAGGGAGGAGCGGGGAGGGAGATGGGGGGAAATTTTTAAATCATTTCTTCAATTAAAAAATTAAAAAATGAGAAAAATAAAAATAAAAAAATAATAAAAAATAAAATTTCTATTTCCTGACCTTGTCCATATGCATTAGTATTTTACATTGTTGTAACCATACTATAGGTTCTGTTCTGGATTTTTCTTCACTTATTTTATCATAAATATATTTTAATAAGTTTTATTATATTTAATTACTATTTAATATTCATAGATGAGTATACTGTAATTTATTTAACCATTCTAAATGCTGATGGTTAGTTTGTGGAATTAGTAACTTGTATTATTGTTTTTAGCATATGTAGAGGAAAGTGTTTTTCTCAGGCTCTGGGCCTTCTTACGACTGAGCTTTAGTCTGTAGAAAGTATATACCCTTATGTCTTGTTTTCCTAAAGCTATTCAAGCTTTACACTTCTCAAAGTCTCATGGATCCCTACTTCACACCCTATTTTTAACAGAAAACAGTGAACTCTGACCTATATACCTTGTCTTATCTTACTGTTACCCACACAACCAAGTCCAAACTCCCCCAGCCCTGAATGAAATTTTTCAAGGACCTGGATCAGACCTCTGACTAGCCTAAAGGCTGAGGCTAATCCTTTTCAATGTATTACTTGCATGGATATAGAGCCTATTTTATCCCTATGTTTAACCAGAACTTTCAGTGGAGAATCTTTTTAGCTATTGATGAAGATGATTAGAGCGGGGCTATAATCTAAATCAGACACAACTGATAAGAAAGCCAAACAAAGAATAAAAGGTTGTTGTAGATACAGACTGGAAATTAACTTAAGGGCTCAAAGAAGGTTTGTATACTATGTCCCCCAAATACAATCACCCATTTTCTTCTTGAGTAGTATCAAAAATCACCCCAGTGTCTCTGTTAATATTATAGGATAGATATAATGAGATGCCCTTGGAGTTATGACTACAAGTATGAGACTAGGATAGGCTTGATAAATCAGGAACAGAGACTGTTTATGAGTGATAATATCATTTGGCTTCTGAGGGATTGAATAGACTACATACATCTTACAACATGGACTGTTCCTTGACCATATAAAGCCACTTGCAATATATGACCTATCTTGATATCTTGGTGAAATGAAAATTTAAAACAGCAATTAGTAAATGATTTTTATTAAGTCATGTACTTTAGATTTACGAGTTATAAGGACAACACCTGGAAAAACTGTAACGAAAGAAGACCTGGAGAAGACTGTAGAGATAATACTCACAGAGACAGAAACACTAGGATTTTTTAACCTACCAACAGTCATGGTTTCGGTAGAATCTGAAGAAGCTGAGAAAGTAAGGTATGTATGGTTCAACTGTCTACACTGCTTCTGTAATTCAAATGCTGGTTATTTTGTTTCTGTCCTTGAGGATTCCTGGATAAATACTGTGGTGTACGTGCCTAGTGAAATTATATATAAAACTATATATGTGCTCTGTGAAATTATATATAAATTATTTATGTTGTATATACTTTTTCTGGAGGAAGAACCAATAGATTTACCATATTCTTTAAAAAGTAAGTGAAATACTAAGTTAAATAACAAAAGAAATAAAGGAAATTTCTAAGTCACAATATAGGTTTTAATGATCTTTATGCATATGTAAGTTGTTTTCAATTTAAAAGGAAAGGACTGAGATTTTAATATTCACAACTTAAGGGAATATATGTTATGGGAATATAACTGACTTTGCTATATTAGAGTAGATTTTCCATTTCTCTATTAATGAATACAAATACATTACTAGTTTTTGCCTCATGCATTTTGAACCTCTGTCACTAGGTACATATATATTAAGAATTGTTGTCTTTTTGATAGATTGACCCCTTTATCATTATATAATGCTGCTCTTTATTTCTGAAGTCTTGCTCTGAAGTCTGAAATTAATAAAGCTACTATAAGTAGGTTATTAATATAATTATTCAGATTATTTAGAATATGATGCATAGTACTAAAAAAATCCATTAAAATAATTTTTAGGGTATTATTCTTACCCAAATATAAAATGTTATAGAATTGTTTGCACTATAAAATATATAACAATTAGATTCTGAATAAATACTTTTTAAAGCTCATAAGACATGAAGGAAAGCTGCTAGGACCATAAAAAGGAAATGGAAAAATAGCAAAGAGATTGATAAGTGATGCGAAATCAGAGAGAGAGAGAGATTCTAGAAGCAAATGGTATATTAGCTCATGGATCTAGAGCCCACCAGTAAGCCTTGGGTCTCCCACAAATTGAGAAAGCTGACTTATATTGGAAATACATCTAAAATGAATGTTAAAATAAAATGTTTATATAATTGTTGAAATTAAGAAGTAAACATTGACTTAGATCTTGAAATTAAAAAGTAAATATTAAATTTAAACAAGACATAATTAAATAGAGATTTAATAAATTGAATCTGAATACTGTACAAACATAGATCTGGATAAATTATACACAGTTTGGAGAGAAGAATGGGATATAAAGAATGAAAAAGTTTAAAAGGATATTGACAATAGAATAAAGGTCTAACATACACCTAGTCAGTTCCCAAAGGCAGAATAAAAAGAATGGAAGAGAGGTACTAATCAAAGTCCTCAGTGGGTGAAGACTTTCTCAAACTATTTAAAGGCTCCATTCTACAAAAATAGGAATAAATAAAAAGAAATCTACAAAATAAGAATGAACTCAGTACATTGTACCGATACTTCAGAATATCAAGTATTAAAAGATTTTTAAAACAGAAGAAAGAGAAAACATATCATCTACAGAGAAATGATTAAACTGACAGCATTATTAGTGATAAAGAAGGTCACTTCATAATGATAAAAAGGTATAAGAGTTCTAGACTTGAATTTTCCTAATAAAATAATCTCCAAATATATGAAACAAAAATTGGAAACTTTGATAAAGATCCTATTAAAGTAATATATTTAAACACACCTCTCTTAATTATTGATAAAATAATTATCAACCAATAAAAATTAGTATAAATGTAGAAAATTTGAACAAAATGTAATTTAATGGTTATACATAGAATAGTACATTCCACAATTAGAGAACACACGCTCTTTTCAAGCACACGTGGAACATTTATAAAAATCATCCATGCACAAGGCCATGAAACAAAGTTTTAAAATTTCAAAGAAATGGTATCATACTAAATTCTCTAACCACAGTGGAATGAAGCTGAAAATTAATAACATAAATCTCCACTAGAACATAGACGCACATTCACGTACACATTTGGAAGTAAGCACATTCTTTAAATTCTTCATGAATTGAATAAGTCATCATGAAGATTTAAGAAATACTCAGAACTAAACAATTATGAAAATAATACATACTTACAGGATGACACAAAAATGAGTAGTACTTTGAGGAAAATTTATAGCTTCGAGTGTCTATATCAAAGTTTATAAAATCTGCATGGAAATAATGCCGGCAGGGATATTGGGAGGTATAGTATAAAAAATCCTTTGGTGGTAGTTCAATGCAGTCTCTTCCTAAGGAATGTTTTTAACTTTCACTCTTTGGTGCAATCCACATTCAGGAAAGTAATTTTGAGGAAAGACATAATATAAAAAGATGATGTGTATGTTAATAATTGATTTTTATTAATTAGTTGCATATATGTTATTTTTTAATAGCCGGAGAAACAAAAATTATGAGACCCTTTGTAGAAATAGATTAGGCAATGACTTATATGTTGAAAGGATGATGCAGACTATTAATGGAGCACCAAAGAATAAAGACGTTCAGTGTGACAAAATCATAAAGCAAGACAAAGGTAATTTATGTTCTGCTTGATAAACTACCATATTGAATTAATATGCATTTTGAGTCTGTCAATTAGTAAATGTTGAAATATATAAAGCAAAAATAGAAATTATTTGGCCACATCACAACAGTAGCTGGGTACTATGATCTACAGCTTTCAGAATTTGACTGGTAAGTTAACAAATAATAAATACAGATATAGAAGATTTGAATAACATAATTATCAATCTTAATTTTTATACAAACTATATCACAGAACTTTGTACTCTTCAAATGTTTAAGAAGCATTTATAGAAACTAACAGTTTATGTTACAAAGAATATCAACTGTAAGTAATAACATTTAAAATATTCCAGACACTATTCTAGGCCTTTCACATATATTAACTGATTTAATTCTCACAACATCCTTATGAGGTAGGTATTATTATATCCCCCCATATTATAGAGGAAGAAACAGACAAAGAGAAGTTAGCTAATTTGCCCAAGGTCACTCAGCTGGTATTGCAGACAATGTTACCCCTAGACAGTCTAGAGTCTGTGCTCTTAACTACTACACTTACTATCTTTCAATGTTTATAAATTAACAATCCTGAGAACACTGCATAGTCAAAAATCTGTGAAGTGTGACCAAAGAGGTAATTAAAAGAAAGGTTATAATCTTAATGGCCTTTGTTACTGAGCAAAACTATAAACTGGTTATTTAAAAAGATTAAAATAGACAAACTTCTAAGCAAGTGCTAAATCAAGAAAAGGGCAACTTATTAGCAGAAAAGCTTCGTGGCATCTTTACTTGTTCTTGACCCATTCCCCTCCCCAGTGTGGTGGTTGTCTTAAAGACAGCAGCCTGCCTTCCCAGTAAGAGACCCTGGCCTCTGGTTCTAGAGGGAGGAGAGCAGACCGTATTCTCAAGGAATTTGGTTTGTCTATTATACTCTGTCTGGGGGCTACCTGAAGGACTGACACAAGACACTAGTCTTTTTTTTTTTTTTTTTGCCTGACTCATAACTCTCAGGTGGTAAAGCAATTGTGCATATCATATTCTTCAAAAATGTTATGAGGAAAATGAACAACTCACCTCTACTGAGGCAAGAGAATACAATTGAGTCAAACAAGAGACACTGAAAGCCTGGGAGAAAAAGCTAGGAAGAGAGTTTCTTTGGGAAATTAAGGTATTGAAAAATGCTTGCATATACAGAGGAATTTAGAAAGTCATGTGCATGCCTAGAGCAGGATGAGAGCTCAGAAAAGACTTAAAATATCCCAAACTACTTCTGACTGATCTCTGGGCTCCGTATAAGCAGGAAGTAAAGGCTAAGGCATGTTTTTAAACAACCTAGTTTAGCACTCAAGGAAGACCCCAATAGAGACCCAATCTGCAAAGACTGGTTGAGGTTTTTTTTTTTCCTTTTTTTTTTGTTTCTTTTTCTTTTCTTTTTTTTCCTCTTTTTTTTTTTTTTTTTTTTTTTTAATTTGAGGAAGGGAAGAATACAGGTGTTCAAGGAAATCTCTGTCAGGACACTAGCTGACCAAAAGCTAAAAACCAATACTTCTAAGAAGAACATGACAGAGAATACAGACTATAACAATAGTTTTGAAACAGCACAACAAACCTTGAGGAGAGGAAGAATCAAGTTTCCAGAGTTACCAAATTGTCATATGATATCATATATCAAGGATAAAAAGAAACAAAGTATGGCCCATTCAAAGAAGAAATTAACAGAAACTCTGCCTGAGGAAGTACAGTCATTGGACTTACTAGACAAAGACTTTAGATCAATTGTGTTAAATATGTTCATAACACTAAAGGACACTATGGACAAAGATCTAAAGTAAACCAGTAGAATGCTATAAAAAAATAAAAAATCAATAAAAAGATAAAAATTATGAAAAGGAACCAAACAGAAATTTTGTAGATTAATAGTATAATAACTGAAATGGAAAAACTCGCCAGAGTTTTCAATAGCAGATTTGAGTGGGCAGAAGAAAGAAACAGCAATTTTTAAAGATAAGTCAACTGAAATGATCTAGTCTGAGGAGCAGAAAGAAAAAAATGAAGAAACATGAACAGAGCCTGAAGGACTTGTCAGATTCCACCAACCAGACCAATATATACAAAATGGGAATTTCAGAAAGAAGGAAGAACAGATAAAAGGGCAGAAAGAATATTTGAAGAATGATGGCCAAAAACTTCCTAGGTTTGATAAAAGACATAAACCTGCACATCCAAGAAGCTCAATAAACTCCAAGAATGATAAACACAAAGATATCCACACATTTTGAAACACATCATCAAACCGTTGAAAGAGAGTTTTTAGAGCAGCTAAAAAAACAGGTGACTCTTCACATACAAGAGATCTTCACTAAGATTCCACCGAGCAAAAACCTTGCAGGCCAGAAGTCAGTGGGATGACATACTTAAAGCGCTAAAAGAAAGATACTGTCAACTACTAATTCTGTGTCTTTCAAATAATCCTCATAAAGGAGAAATTAAATTGAATAACAAAATTAAATATATTCTCATGAAGGACAAATTGAAACATTCCCAGATAAACAAAAGCAAGGGAATTTAGCATAGTAGAACTGCCTTACAAGAAATCCTAAAGGGAGTCCTTCAGGCAAAAATGGAAGAAACACTAGATTCAGAAACATGAAGATATAAAGAATACTGGTAAAGGTAACTACATGGGTAAATACAAAAGGCAGTATTGTAATTGTGGTTTATAACTCCAATTTTTTTGCAATATTTAAAATGCATGAAACAATTATAATTCTATGCTAATGGGTATACAATGTATAAAGACATAATTTGTGACATCAACATATAGTGGGTGAGATAGAGGTATATTGGAGCACTTTTGTATGCTAATGAAGTAAGATAGTATTAATTCAAAATAGATTGTTAAAATTTTAAGAAATTAATTGTAATCCTCAAGGCAACCACACACAAAAAAATAACTTTAAAATTACAGAAAAGATGAGAAAGGCATTAAAAAAATACACTATAAAAAGTCAGTTAAACACAAAAACGACAGTAATAGAGAAACTGAAGAACAACAAAGATATGACATAAAGAAGATAAATAGAAAAATGGCATAAGTCCTTTCTGAACAGTAGTTACTTTAAATAAATGGATTAAACTCTCCAATTAAGAGGCAGACTGACAGGATGGTTAAAACATCTAAACATGATCCAACAATATGCTGTCTAACAGACTGCCTTTAGCTTCAAAGACACAAATTATGTTAAAAGTGAAAAGAAGTAAATAGTAACCAAAGAAAGTTAAGATGGCTTTACTAATATAAGACAAAATAGACTTTAGATAAAATTGTTACAAGAGACCAAGAACATTATATATTGCTGAAAAGTTTCAATCCATAAAGAAGATATAACAATTATAGATATACATGCACTTAACAAGAGAGCCCCAAAATATATGAAGCAAATATTGACAAAAGTGAAGGGAGAAATATTTTTATAATAAGAATTGAGACTTCAATACCTCTCTTTCAATAATGGACAGAACAATTAGATTATCAACAAGAAAGTAAAGGACTTGAATAACAGTATAATCTAGATATAATCTTCCATACTAAAACAGCAGAGTAGACTTTTTTCTTCTACATTTCACATGGAAAACTCTCTGGGATACGCCATTATGTTAGGCCACAAAACAAGAATTAATAAAATTTTAAATATTGAAATCTTCCAAAGAATCTTTTCTGACCACAATGTAATGAAACTAAAAATCTATAACAGAAGGAAAACTGGAAAATATACAAATATGTAGAAATTAAACAACGCCCTTTTAAACTACCAGTGGGTCAAAAAAGAAAGCACAAGGGAAATTAGAAAATACTTTGAGATGAATGAAATGAAAATATAACAAACTTATGGGCTATAGTGAAGTAGTGCTTAGAGGAAAATTTATAGCTACAGATACATTAAAAAAGAAGCATCTCAAATCGTAACCTAACTTTACACCTTAAGGAACTAGGAAAAGAAGATAAAAATAAAACAAAAGCTATTAGAAGGAAGAGAATAATAAAGATTAGAGGTAAGAAAAATGATAATAAACAAAAGAGAAAAATCAGTAGAATCAAAGGAAGAGAATAATAAAGATTAGAGGTAAGAAAAATGAGAATAAACAAAAGAGAAAAATCAATAGAATCAAAAGTTGGTACTTTGAAAAGATAAATAGAATTTACAAAACTTTAGATCAACTAAGAAAAAATAAGATAGAAGTTGCAAATTACTAAAATGAGAAATGGAAGCGGGGACAGTACTACTGTCTTTGCAGACATAAAATGGATTATAAAGGAATACTATGAACAATTGTATGTCAGTAAATTAGATAACTAAATGAAATAGACAAATTCCTAGAAGCACACAAATTGTGAAAACTGACTCAAGAAGAAATATAAAATCTAAACATGTATAACACGAGACTGAAGTAATAAAGCCTTCCAATAAAGATCTGAAGACCAAATGGTTTCACTGATGAATTCCACCAATCATATAAAGAATCAACACCACCAATCCTTAAAAAAAAAATCTTCCAAAAAATAGAAGAGAATACTTTTAAGCTTTTGAGCCCAACATTACCAAAGCCAGATAAAGACATAACAAGAAAACTACATACTAATATTACTTATTATTATTTAAAACCTTCAACAAAATACTAGTAAACTGAACCAGCTGCATAATAAATGGATTATATACTATACATCAAGTGAGATTTACCCCAGTGATGAGTGATTCAACATACATAAAGCAGTATAATACACATTAATAGAATGAAAGACCCCACATGTTATCAATTGATGTGGGAAAATTATCTGACAAAAAATCCAACATAGTCTCATGATAAAAAACATTCAGCAAACTAGGAATAGAAGGAAATTTCCTCAACTTGACAAAAGGTATTTATGAAAAACCCACAGCTAGCATTATATGCAACGGTGAAAATCTGGACACTTATCCTATAAAATCAGGAACAAAACGAGGATGCCTGCTTTCTCGACTGCCATTCAAAATTGCACTAGAAGTTGTAGGCCAAGCAATTGGGCAAAGAAAAGAAATAAAAAGCATGAAGTTGGAAGAGAAGAAATAAAATTATCTCTATTCACAGATGATATGATATTTTTTGGAGTTTTTTAAAATTTAATTTTCAGTTACAGTTGGCATAATATTAGTTTCGTGTGTAGAACGTAGTAATTAGATATTCATATAACTTACAGAATGATCACTCTAATAAGTCTAATACCCACAGATAACATACATGATCTTAAGTATAGAAAATCCTAAGGAATCCATACAATGACTATTGGTGCTAATAAATACAGTAAAGTTGTAGAATACAAAATCAATACACAAAATTCAGTTGTATTTCTATACACTACCAATGAACAATCCACAAAAGAAATTTAAAAAATAATTGCATTTGTAACAGCAGCCAAAATAATAAAATACCTAGGAATGAATTTAACCAAGAAGATGAAAGACTTGTACAATGATAACTATGAAACATTATGAACTTCAAAAGAGTTTCACTGTTTTTTATTTTCTCTCCCCTTAGGTGGGGCAGGATGGCTCAAGTGTGCTGGCGCTAGGTATTTCCCTTCCCTCAGGTCATTTAGGCCCTTAATAATACCCTAGTAGGTTTCTTCTGGTTATCTAGTTTCCCCTGAGGGCACACCTGGTTAAGAAGATAAGAGTGCTCTGGTGTATTTAAAAATGGTTCATTTTCCTCTTCCTCTGCCTGAACCATGAGGAGATTTTTTTTTTTTTTCCTGTGACTTACTGTAGGAATCTGGTTATATTCCTGGAGATAAAGCTCACAAAATGTAGGGCTTCCCTATGACTGGACACCCTGGAGTTTTAACTCTCAGACCTGTCCACAGTCAACCTCCAGCAACTCATCACACAATTCAGATTTTCCTACCCCAGCATTGATTCCCACAGTAGTTTCCACTCCTGAATCTCTGCTCCAATAAGCCACAATTCCCTATATTTGCCTGCCTGTTCATCTCTTCAGTCTTGGCGGCAGCAGTTTGCCCTGTGTCAGTATCTCTCTTTCAGACCCAAGATGAGTTGTTACTTTTTCAGTCTGTTCAACTTTTCACTTGTTCGTAGGACAGAATGGCGACTTCCAAGCTTCTTAACTGTGAAACTAGAAACTGCAAGTCTCATTTTCTTAACCTGAGGCTAGAATACTCAGGTGAATCTGCCAGATTCTTCTTTGTATATAGCTTGCCTTTACCATTCTTAATGTAGTTCCTTTCAATAGGCCACCTTAGATAAGGTGAGAAAACTCATTTCCCTGCACAGACATGTTCTGTTAGACCGTACTCCTGAGAGCTGCAGAGAAGCCATGATGGATAAAAAATATAGAGCAGCCCACTCACCGTGACCATATTTTCACTGGACATTCGGTGCCTAGCTTGTCAGCTGCCCTCGGTGGGTTAAACTCTATGTTTCCAAGCATGTATTTATGCTCTTACTCTGTATTTTCCTTGTAAGTGGCTCATGTAAACTGAGAGAAGCTGAAGTCAGACTATGGACCAGACTACTCTGATTATCTTCTCCTGGGAATCCTAATCTACCAGTGGTGATTTTGTTTTCTTCTTATCCATCTGTGGTAGTGTTTGCTATTCCAGTTTTTGAAACTAGACAATATGTTGTAAAAGTATACATATGTCTGAGAGTCTTACATAGGGTTATCTAAGAAGAAGCCTCTGAGAAAAGGACTTGAGTGTACATAATTTAATTTGGAGGTTGTCTTAAGAAATATTGGTAAGGGAGAAAGCAAGTGAGACAAGAAAGGGTAGGCAGCCAACGAAGTTTATATTATTTTTCAAATTACATCTCCTAGAGAACTCTGTAAGCCAGAGTTATCTTACCATGCTCCAACTTTCTAAATCATTGTTTGAGGGTGGATAGGCTTGTGAGTTCCTCAGCACTTGTGGCCTAATTTGTGGACATCAAAGTGGCCTTTGTAGCCAAAGAAATGCAGGTGCTAGCAGTTGGATATTGGCCAGTAAGATGTAACACAGAGTAGATATGGGTAGAACAACAGCATCTGCCACAGGAGAAAAACCTTTAAAACAGCAAGGGAATGACCAATCCAAAAGTTAGGAAAAGTGGGTACTTCTGTTGGAGGTAGCTAGAAGAAAGAAGGCTATGATAGGAGAGTGTTCAGGCGACCTCTAAGCACCTGGGGATGTTTGATTTTTTTATTCTGGCTGGTAAGTACATGGTATTAATTTTTTGTACTACACATGTATGTGCTATATACTCTTCAGTGAATGGTATAAATTTCACAATAAAAATTTTATTAAAGCAATAAAAGATAGTTTATACTAAAGAATTTAGATACAGATCAAGTAAATATTAAGGTTTTATGGATCAGTAAAAATCATGTATTTTCATACTAATTTTGTATGAGACTGAAAGATTCAGGAGTTAGGGAGATGGAAATCAAAATATTACCTTTATTACTGAAAAAGTTAATTGAAAAATGTAGCCTTAAATCTGCAGCTAGGTGGACTTTCTATTTCTCCTCTCCAGAATAGATCTTACCAACAGTAGTTGGCACAGATAGACAAGCACAGATCCCTGTAGGAGTGAGAGCAGACTAGGGTGCATGCTTTCTGCAAGTGAGCAGACCTAACATAAGAAGCCAGAAGTGGCTGAACTGCAATTCTTGCTAAACTCTCTTGTGAGATTAGTTACTTC